AGCAGCTGCCCTTTTCTCCACTCTTCTGCCTGGGTGTTTTTGCTTTGGAACGAGCTTACCACGGACTGAAGCCTCTGAAACCCTAAGCTGAAATACAAGGTATGATTAGAAAATACTGTAAGTATTTTAATTTTCAGAAAGTATTACAGTAAAAGACACATTGTGGGGGGCCGGTGAGATAGCTCAGTGGACTAAGTGCCTGCTAAGGCAAGCACAGAGACCAGGGTTCAATTCCCAGCACCACACACCCTGCCGGCCCTGCCCCCCAGGCATGCTGAACCAGCCACGGAGTCCGGGCATGGTGGCGCACGCCTGTAATCCCAGCGCTAGTGAGGCTGAAAACAGGAGAATCACTACAAGTCTGAACTGTGTAGTGAGACCCTGCACCCCATACATAAAAATTTTTTAAAAAGACACATTGTCACTAATCCCTCTCCAAATATTTCTGAACACAACTTAGTGTGCTTAAATATTTAAACACACTTAGCTCATCATTTTTGCCACTTCTGAAGAAGCTCTGGAGGGAGGGAGTGTCTTTAGTTGCACTGTTGGGGCTCCCTTGATGTCCTGAACTGATTCGAAACATTTGCCTTTGGTAGTCATTGTAACCTTGGTGAGGAGCCCAAAGTCACAGGGTGCCAGATCCGGTTAGTAAGCTGGACGAGAACGCCCTGTAAGGTTTTTATAAGCCTGCCTTTGCATCGGACAGCACTGGGCAGCGGCATTCACACTTCATTTTTATCACATCTCCTAAAGAACTATGAAAGAGGACTTTGAGAACTGAAAGAACAATGGGTTAAGTGTGCTTGAAGCAAAGGGGATGAGCGGCGATGTGTCTTTTCCTGTAATAAATTTTTAAAAATGTAAACATTCACCATTGTGTTATGATCATGCTCCATTAATATTTTCCTCTTCAAGTTATGTGTGTTGGGTATTTTGTCCCAGCAACAGAAAGCTGCCCGGTACAGTGATGGAAGCTAATGTGGCTGCACAGAAGGGACTCAGTAAAAAGAAGAAAGACGAAAGTGGGGAGACCCACAAGGAAAGTGATAAACAAAGACTAAGAGCTAATGTGGGGCTTCACGTTTCATGTTTACAGCAATGCTGTGAGCTGCAAACTCTTGTCAAACACATTTTACAGACAAAGAAGATTCATAGGTGTTGAATAAGCTTGCTGGGGTCTCCAGCTGTTATAGACAATGGCCCTGGGGTTCCAGCCCTACTCATTTCTGCGTCATAACCATCAAAGGCCTCTGAGCTGGGGCAAGAGGTGGGTCAGTGCTGAGGTGACCCTTGGGACAGTTCCTTCCCTCCTGAGGCTGCCTCTTCAGATGGACTCTGCAAGGACCACCTCTCTCTAAGCCACTCACCTGAGTTAGGGGCACAGCCCATTGTCCTGATCCCTCCTGCTGCCACCTGTCCAGCACCCTAGAAGTGGAGAGTCACTCCTCCTCATATTCCAAGTTGTTTCTCCTTTAAAAGGACTTTTTTTGAGGCATAACTTACCACAGTGATACGTGTGTATCTTCAACGTCCAGATGAATGAGTCTTTGTATATGGAACACCCAGGAAATCACCAATTAGTTCAGAAAATGCCCCACACCCACCTCCAAGACAGTCTTGAAAGCTAGGCCCACAGCCCAAGCAGAGCGTGTCTCCTCTCTGAAGCATTTGCCAAGATCAACCTCTCTTTCAGTAACACCCTTGTTATGGTTTGCGTCTAGGTGTGCCCCCAAAGCTTCAGGCAGCCACTGGGGTGGCTTCTAGAGTTTGTGATCAATCCATGATCCAAGGCAAGGATGCTGGGTGTGAGTGCTACGCCCGCCCTGGGGTGGAGAGCCTGAACGCAATATAATCTAAGGAAGAGAGAGGGCATGCTCTCTGCCCCTGCTTCTGCTGTCGCTACTCCCCACATTGCTCTTCGCTGTTTTGTGCTGCCATGAGCTGCTGCCCTCTGCCGTGTGGCACTCTGACTTGGAGCCAGCCAAAGACGGACTAAAACCTGCACCAACTGTGAACTAAGTAAACCTTTCCTTCCTTAATTTTGGGAGTCGAGTATTTTGACCCAGCAATAAGAAAAAAAGTAACCAAGAAAACCCTGCTGAAAACTCTGCTGTGGCCCTAGATCCTGGGCCGTGACCTTTGGGGCAGAACAACACCAAAGCCCTGGTCAGGAAACTGCAAGGTGAAAAGAGAGGATGGGTGAACCCCCTCCCGGGGCTGTAGGATACAGAAGCTTTAAGAGTATGACATGTTAGTATTCCACGCCCGTCTCTCTGCACAGGCAAGTGGTCCCCAAATGAAGTGGGGGCACAGGAAGGCACACACTGATGAGGTAGACCTTCCGCTCCCCAAGGCTGCGAGGAAGTGGCAAGCCCAGCAGACACCACTGTCTGCCCCCCATGGGACAAGAGAACCCTTCATGCTCCTCCATTGCCTGCTCAAAACATGATAGAGGAGAGGAAGAAGAAGGGGTCATCCTCCCTCAAGGAGGTCTCTTCAAAGGAGAGTTTTCTGTCTGCACATTGCTGGGGAAACAGCAAGAACTTCTGAGACAGACAGATGGGCTTAAATCCCAGCACTGACATTTATAGATTGTGTGGCATTGGGCCTGTCACTTCACCTCTCTGACCCTCCTCTCCTGCGTCTGTCTCTGGAGAGAGCAGGATGTCCTCCTTCCGCAGAGGAATCTGACGTTTCCATGAGACTGTGAGGAGGCTGACGTGCTTGAGCGTGCTGTTGCCATTCGCTGTCCCTCCTACCCATGGCACAGCTGGGTTCTCCTTGTGAAAACTTCCAGCGCAGGTAAGCGTTGCTCCCACCTTTACCAGCTGCCCCCCTCCAGTGACCCCCAGCCGCCTGTTAATCAGATGCATAGGCCAGCAGCTGGCTGGTGTGCTGGGGCGTCCCCACCCTCCAGTGCGGAGATGCTTCTGGAAACTCCCCCAGGTCAGAACTCAGGTGATGCCCAAGGTTAAAGCTCAGCTTCAAGCATTTGGAGTCCTGTCTGCATAAATTCCCACGGCCCCCCACCCGCAACTGCAGCGTGAATATGCCTCTGTTCCTCTTATGTTAATATATGTATTATTTATGGAGCCTTATTATGTGCTCAGAGGGCTCCCCTGAGAAATATAATTGTGCACTGGGAGATAAATTTGAATAATATTTGCAATTAATTTCCATCAATAAAGCAGCGCAAGGAGACCTCTGCATAGCAGAAATGGTCCTGGGTTGGTTTCCCACCAACTGCTCCCCTGGGCAGGCTTGAGGAGCTATTAAACATTTCCCCCGCGACCCACTTCTCTTGAGCTGTGCCTGCAGCTTCCTGCCCAGGGACCACAATGCTCCAGCAAGGCAGCAACAGCCTCTGGCCTCCTCTTCTGCCCTTTCCAGGTGGTCCTCCCCAGAGCACCCGGGGGACACTGATTCGGGGTGCAGGTCTATAGTCCTGTCACACCTCTGCACATGACTTCCTGTGAATCAGGGCAGGTACCCCACCACCTGGTCCTGTCTTCACCCTACCTCCTCACTGCCACCTTATCACCATCAGCCCCTGGAACCATTGTTCCTTCCTACTTCTTCACAACTGCCAGAAGCACCCCGCTCTTCCATCCCCACCAAATCAATGCCTACCCATCCTGAATATGGCAGCCAAGCGCCTCTCCCATGGGGAAGTTTCCCTGGGCTCTGAACAGGGCCAGCTTCCTCTGTAATAAGAGTGCAGCCCTTCACCATGACTATTTCCCACTGGGGATGTGTATGCCTTGCTTTTCATTTTTACTTTTCTCCTGTTCATCCCGCTAGCCAGTGAAACAGACCACGAGGACAGCGACTGTGTGTGATCTTGTCCCTGTGTCCCCAATACCTACCACAGTGATGTACCACTGGCAAAGAGAAGGTATATTGAATAGATTTTTATACAGTGGAAGAGTGGGTAAACATATGGGTCAGTGACGGTGAACCTATGGCATGGGTGTTAAGACAAAAGATGTCAATGTATGAGTTGTTTTTTTCTGTACCTCAGTCTTCGGGTTGAGTCTCAGTGTTGGCACTTTGCAACAAGCAGATTTTAGGTTGTAGCTTGGCACTGGGTCTCCAAAAGGTTTGCCATCGCTGATATAGATGGCTGCAAACCTGGATGGCAGGGTGGGTTGTTGGACGAGTGCTGGGGTAGATACCTGGGGGAGTGGGTGGGTGGCTACTGAGGCGAGTGGATAGCGGAACAGCGTTGGGGTGAGTGGATGAGTGGCAGGAGGTTGGGGGAGGCGGGTGAGTGGGTAGAAGTTGGGGTGAATGGGCAGGTGGGTGTCGGGTGGGTTCTGCGGATGGATCCTTGAGTGGCCTGAGCAGTGCACAACAGCACAGACTTGGACGCTGGCGCCCCAGCTGTGTCCCTCACCTGCTGAGGCTCCTTGTGTTATCTGGAGTCAGCTACCACATCTTGTGTACGCTGGTTGCTAGGAAGAGAAAAATAAGAAGTGGAGGTTTTCCCAAAGCGCAGATTCCTCAAAGTCTACAGTGTGGGAAATGGTTGTTTGAAATGTCTAGGCCTTTTTTTTTTTTTTTTTTTAACTGTCTCACAACATAGCCACGAGGCTTTGGATAAGCGACATTGCCTCCCTGCGCCTCGGCCACTGTTGTGGGGTCCTCGTTCCATGGGTCAGTCACAGGTGTGGATGTTCGGACTGACAGATGCTTCAGAATGGCAGCTCCCTTTCCTTCCTCATCATGCTCTGCTTCTTCTCTGCTCTGTGCCCCATCCTCAAATTCCATCATTTCTTCTTGTCCCTTTGTCGCTTGTTCCCAGGGCCCCTCAGCCCGCCCACCCCGACTGGAAGCAATGCTGGGCTCCATAGCTGGGTCCTGGGCCCAGAGAGAAGCATGCTGGTTACTGTGGAGTGAATCCTGCCCCCCACTGTGGGGGACATGCTTTGCAAATTGCAGGGGTTATATACATAGGACCCGTGGAGATGTTCATAAGACAGAGGCGACAAGACTGATGAAAATGTCACGGTTGCCTTTAATACTAGATGGCAAATTGCAGTCAGAACAGGGGACTCCAGTATAGCAGCCAGAAAGAGGGAGGTTTGGCTCTGAGGTGGCTTGAACTGTGCTCCTGTTTATCAGCTTTTCCAATGACAGCATGAGTTCCTGGCTCCCTAGTCTGGCTTGGTCTATTGGGAAGTCCAGGAGGAGGAGCCTTCATGCCCAAGCCACAAGGGACTATCTCTGTGACCTAGAAAAAAGTTTTATGCCATCTTGTGCCTCAGCTGCCTCAACTGAAAACTGGGGAAGGGAAGCCAGGGCCCAAGGCCATCTCTACAGCTCTCTTCTGCTCCCCAGGGGAGCAAGTGCAGACTGCTTCACGCATTCACATCCCCAGCCTGTGTCCACTCAGAGCCACCTCGTCATAAGCATCAAGACCCAACAAGGAAGGAACAGTCTGTCCTTTAATGAAGTGTGATTCCAAACAGCCTGCAGCTTGGGGACTGGCCCAGCCAGAGGTAGACATTACATCTGTTCCTTGCATCCTGCCGGAGAACTGGCTTAGCAACGCGAGGACTTGGAAGAGAGCAGAACACAGACACTTAGGAGCCAGGAGGCCCTGGACCCACAGAGGCTGCCTCCTGCCAGGCCTACCTGCAACCTTCTCTTCCACAGACCTCAGAGGGTGCAGAGAATGGGAGCCATGGAGGTGAATGTGGATGGTCTCGAGAGAGCTAGGGGCCTAGTGCTTCTTTTGTATGTGTTGATCATTTTGAAAACTACTTGCAGAGTTTCTTAATTGCCACTAAGATGCTCACAGCCATCTGCTGAAGAAGCAATAGTTTTAGTTAAAGCCCCAACTTCTCCCATTGTTTCCTGACTCTGCAGCGTATTTTGAGGCAGGCAAACTGAAGTTCTAATCTAGCCTCTGGCAGAGACTAACTCAGTGGCCTAGAGCAAGTCCCTTAACCCCTCTGAGCCTCAGATGTAAGAGGGTAATAATCATTGTACCTAACTTGGAGTCACTATGAGGAATAAACGAGTTAATACATAGAAAGTACTTAGCATGGAAAGTGCTGAATACATGCAGGCTGTCCTTACAGCCTGGGACAGTCTCAGCAAATCCTTAATAAAAGAATGAAATCACTGGAGCCAGGCAGACCTGGTTCAGATCTTATCTTTGTGCTGTGGGGGATGAGAGGTGAGTTACAGTCACCCTCAGAGCCTCAGCCTTGTTGTTTGGGAAGGGTCAGTGTCCTTCCCTGTAGCAGGAAGTGTCTGGTACAGATGACAAGAGCCAGGCCACAAAGCCGCACACTGGCTGCTTGCTGTCTTATCTCAGGAGTTTGGTTAAAGGAGTTGGATTCCAGGCTGTGGTGGGCCCTGGAATTCCTCCTTCCTCCAAGAGATGCTCCCAGGCTGCTTCCCAAAGCCATGCCTTGGAGTCGTCCCTGACAAGGCTTGGAGGGAAGGGAGAAAAACAGAAGCCCTTCCCCCATACACACACACCCACCCCCAGGAGGGGTTTACTCTGAGCACCACCAACTAGAGCTGATTAGGGAAGGAAGGCACCCTAGGACAGATGGTGGCTGCTAGTGAAGTTGTCCAGCAGCCCCAAGTAACCAGCATGAGCCAGGAGCAGAGCTGGAGCACAGGTCTGGCACCACCCACACCCCTACAGCACCTGTAGCCAAAGCACCAGACCCCCCCCCCATCTTGTCCTTGCAAAGATCCCACAAAGACCCTCTGGTCTCCTGTCTTCCCAGCTCTTCTGAAAGTCAAGTTCATGGTCTTGAAAGTCCATGGGCTGATATCATCCTTCTGTCCCAGGTAACCATGCATTTTATACTCCTTAAACCCAGACCAGTGGCTGGAAGGGTGGAGTTTTCTGGCCAATTACTGATACAGGTGTAAAGGGTGAAGTGCACACTGCATCGTGCTGGATTTGTTCTGACCTCCCCGGCTCACATTAGGGACCTCACAGAGTGTGGCACTTCCAGGTTACACAGTAGTTAGCTTCTTCCCACAGCCTTATGCTGAGCCCAGTCCATGACAGTGCCTTCGAGAGTTCTTCCTGTATTATTCCAAGTGGGACAAGGCTGGCCTACCACAAAGCATGAATTGCAGGTCCAAGGTCCACTATCCCACTTAGAGAAAGAGGTTCCATATGCTGGATTTGCAGCTCAAAATACACTCCAGCCCGTACAAAATACACTGGGCGCTAGAGTGTCTTGGGGCAGCCCTGGGTGGGGCATGCCCACTGGGGGCTTCTCCAGAGACACTCACAGCATGCTGGTCTCCTTTTCATTCATCGAAGACTTCTCATTCACTGAGGACATCTTGGTAAAGCTCCTGTGGCTAGGGTAGGAAGAGTGGCCCGTGTCCTCGCTCAGAGCATTGACCAAGCGGGAGAAGAAGGCCACCTTGAACTTCTTGAAGTCCTGGCCCATGAAGACGTACAGAATGGGGTTCATGCAGCTGTTGGCAATGGCGATGGCAGTGGCAAGGGGCAAACCCAGGCTGAACACAGTGCCAGGGATGGCCTTGTGGTAGAGCTCCAGGAGATTGATCGTGTGGTACGGGCACCAGCACAGGAAGAAGGTGATGATGATGGTCATGATAATCTTAAAGGGCTTCTTGGTCTTGGCGAGGCGGTTGCGCTGTAACTTGCAGACAATGGTGAGGTAGCAGGCTGTGATGATGAAGACAGGAACCAGGAAGCCACAGAGGAAGCGGGTGAGAGTCACCACCATTTGCCGGCTGTGCCCCACAGGGCCCAGTTTGAAGTGAGCAGGCAGGAAGGAAGACCCAGGCACAGACAGGTTAAAGTTGTTGAAGCAGGATATTTTCCCATGCAGATTGGCTGTGTCCCGGAAGATGAGGGATGGAGAACTCAAGAAAAAAGCCAGTATCCAGATCACCATGCAGGCCATGTAGGCCAGCCGGATGTTGCGGTGGTTCTGGGACCAGACAGGAAGCAGCACGGAGATGCAGCGGTCAAAGCTAATAATAGTGAGTAGGAAGACACTGGTGTACATGTTGTGGATGAGTAGGAAGTTGCTGATCTTGCACATGGCCGTCCCAAACACCCAGTGGTAGTCCATGGCAGCATAGGCTATGTGGATGGGCAGGAAGACATTGAACAGGAAATCAGCCACAGCCAAGTTGAGGAACCAGACAGTGTTAACTGTCTTCTTCATCTTGAAGGTGGCAATGACAATCACCAGGCCATTGCCCAAAATCCCAAGGAGACAGACAATGCTGTAGACCACCACCAGGAAGATCCTGGCTACCCTGAAGTCCCTCTGGGGAGAGGACTCATCAAAAATCACGATGGGGTCAAAACCATCCTGATAGTCTTCATCATAGCTGATAGAATCATTGTAATCTCCACGCTCCATGTTCTGAAAGGCAAGACAAGGGTCAGCAGGGGCAGAAGTTAACCAACCATGTCCTTCTTGGCTATATCAAGACTGATGTGGTCATTTAACCACTTCCCGTGTTCCTGTTTTATTTAACCGACACCTTTCCTCACTTCCTACATAGCAGGCACTGTTCTGAGGACTTGACGTATATAAAGAGCTGAAGCTGGTTGTCTAAGGTCACACATCTAGGGAAAAACAGCAACATGACTCAAACCCAAGTGTCAGAATCTTTCCTCTTGACAACCATCTCTTCTGTGTCTTCCGGACTCTGTTTCCCTGAAGTCTAGTAGGGGCAGGCAATTATTCACCAAACATCCCTCAAACACTGGAAGGAGCCCAACAATGCTCAGTGCACTGAGGGAGAGAGACGTGGTGCTGCAAACCGGGTTCCAGCGTATGCTTCCAAAGCCCAAGGGACACCTCGGCTGTGTCCTCCCAGCCTGCTCCTGCCCCACGTGTGGTTTCTGATCCCCCCGGAGACAGAAGTCCTGACAACAAGGGTCCCTCACCATTCACTGTTGCGGTGCCCAAAGCACTTCACTGAGGGTTCTCAGCCAATCAGTCCCTGTTCACGGTTGGCAACACCTGAAGGGAAGGAAAAGGGGGTCAGGTAAATCTGATTCTGAGAACCAGAGGATTGGAGAGACACAGAGCCCGCAACAGGAGCTATTGTAGTTATTCCCGGTTGACTAGAAAGAAGCAGACTTCCAGAGGGGCTGAGTGTGATCAGCCAAGGCCACCCGGCTGGGAAGCTGCAGAGCCCTTGAACCCAGATCCACTGGCTCAACATAGATCACCAGCCAGATCCTTCATCCCAACCAATCCCTCCCAGCACCTCACTAGAGGAAGGCCCAAGTCGGGCTGGGTTCAGGAAGACATAGGGGAGAGAGCATGGAAGGGGTGAACCTAGGCAGGACCCGAGGGTGCCAGGCAATGCAGGGGACAGGGAAACTACCCCAAATCCCATGGGTGCAGGAACTTTAATTCCCTCATGTTACTTCATCTTCCTAGGGCCCCTTCCAGACATTTATTGTAGAAACTGATGAGCAGAGAACTCACTGGGCACATTTGGGCCCTGTGGGTGCCACGAATGAGACACAGGCCTTTCTGTCACAGAGGTCTGGTGTGGAGATGGACACAGGACAGCCACTAAGCATGTCCTGTGTGGACCACCAAGCTGGGACTCCTCCTAATACCTTGTGGGGCATTTTTCAATGGATAGAAGAATGGACTGGTACTCTGCGGCCTTTGCAAGCATGAGGGGTCTTGGAGGCTGTTGTCATGGGTATAGTCCAAACCCACCCCTGGCCACTACCCAGCCCTGTGGCTTTTGACACATGATTTCTGCTTTCTTAACTTCCATTTCCTCATCACTAAAATGAGAATAGTTACTTCACAGAGTCAATTTAATAGCTTACGGCATGCCAGGGTACAACATCAATATGCAAAAATCACTAATGAACTAGCTGAGAAAGAAATCAGGAAAAGAATTCTATTTAGAAAATTGCTTCAGGGGCCGGGGAGATAGCTCAGTGGCTTAAGCACCTTCCTGGCAGGCAAGGTCCTGAGTTTCCCCAAACCAAAATGAAACAAAAAGATTGCTTAAAGAAACATAGAGATCACAAAGGAGGCCAAAAATCTCTATAATAAAAATCTCATAACATCAAAGAGAGAAACTAAAGACACTAGAAGATGGAAAGATCTCCCATATTCATGGAGCAGTGGATTTAATAATATTCAAATATCTATGTAACCAAATCAGTCTCCAGATTGGATACAATCCATATAAAATATCAATGATGTAGAACAGAGTCCTAAAATTTGGAAACACAAAAGATGCTGAATACCCAAAGCAATCCCAAACAACAAAAGCAAAGCTGGATGCTTTCATTTCAAATTATACTACAAAGCCAGAGTAACAAAAACAGCATAGTACTGGTACAAAAACAGACATGTAAAGCAATGGAATAGAGGATACAGAAACAAATACAAACAACTACACCCATCTGACTCTGGAGAAAGAAGTTAAAAATCTATGCTGGAAAAAAGATAGCCCCTTTAAAAACGGTCCTGAGAAAACTTGATACGCACAACATAGAAGACTGAAACTAGATCCTTGTCTCGTAAAAATACCCTCCATAAAAATCCATTGAAAATGGATCAGAGACCTAAGTATAAGACCTGAAACAGGGGCCGGGGAGATGGCTCAGTAGGATAAGCGCTTGACTGGCAAACGCAAGGATCTGAGTTCAATCCCCGGTTCCGCCAAAAAAAAAAAAAAAAAAAAAAAAGACCTGAAACTGCTAGAATAAAGTGTAGAAGGAACACTGAACACCATAGGTACAGACACAGACTTCCTGGGTAGGACTCCAGGAGCCCAGAAGAATAGTCATAATGAACAAATGAGGCGACATCAAGCTAAGTTTCTGCACAGCAAGGGGAACAATCAACAGAGTGATGAGAGGGGACATCTCAGCCAGTTACTTTTCTTACAGAAGATTCATATCTAGAACATAGAAAGAGGGGCCGGGGAGATGGCTCAGTGGAATAAGTGCTTCCCCGGCAAGCACAAGGGCCTGAGTTCAATCCCTGGCACCACCAAAAAAAAAAAAAAAAAGGAGTGATATAGGGGCCGGGGAGATGGCTCAGTGGAATAAGTGCTTCCCCGGCAAGCACAAGGGCCTGAGTTCAATCCCCGGTTCCACCAAAAACAGAACATAGAAAGAACCCAAAAACCTTGACACAAAAACATCAAATGGGCAAGAGAATAAAACAGACACTTGGTAAAAGTACACAGATAAATGGCCAATAAAATATAGGTTTATGTTCACTATCCTCACAATTAGGGAAATGTAACGCAAAATTATGTAGATTTTTAACTCATCCCAATCAGAATGGTTGCCATCAAGAATATAAATGAATAAATAAATACACAAACTGACTAATTCTGGCAAGGACAGAGGCGAGGGAGGAGACCTTTCTACCCTGCCAGTGGGAATATAAAACGTGCATCCACTAAAGAAATCAGTATGGAGCTTCCTCAGAAAACTGACAGCAAAGATACCGTTTGCTCTAGCTACTCCTTGCTATATACCTGAAAGAGGGAAAGTCAGCTTATTATAGGGATACTCACGTACCCAAGTTTATTGTGGTGCAAAACACAGCAACCAAGATATGGAAGCAGCCTAGGTGTCCGTCAGCTGACCAATGGCTAAAGCAAGTGTGGTACCTCTACGTGTTTACTGGACCACATGGGAGTATTGCTCAGCTGTCAAGAAGCATGCAGTGATGACATTTGCATGCAAATGGGTGGAACTGGAGATGACGGCATTCAGTAACACGAGCTTCCCACCATGTGGAATCTAATAGAGATGACATGAAAGTTGAGAGGAGACCACTATTAGACAAGAGCAAAGGAATAAGGGGGAAGGGGAAGGGTTATAAGGGGTGGTAATTGAGGGCTAGAAAAAATATTAATTATATCGTTAAGAGATCATGATGGTGGCGTGAATTTCCTGAGGTGGAAAGGCATCCCCTCCGCTCGGTGCAGCAGCAGGTTATAGCGCAGTATTATGTCATTGCCAATGTTTTCTTTTCCAAAGTGCATTAATATGTAGAAATA